CCTTTTGCTACAAGTCAGCAGACGCAGCACAGCTAGTCCCTCTGGTACAGGATGCCAAAATTATTTTAATGCCTGTTTTCCCTTAGCCTGCACAGAATAAAAGGCCACTCTGAAAGGTGCAGTCTTATAATTGAAAATGGCAAAATGGGCAAAGATGCCCAGACTTCCCGATCCACAGACACTTCCTCCAGCTGCTCTTGGGGACCCCGAGGCGACATCAGGCCAGCTCAGAGACATAGTCCCTCCAGCGTGTCCTGGGCCTTCCACAAGCCCTCCTCCCAATGGGTCATGCCTGGAAAACCTCCTGAGGGATGCAACCAGGAGGCATCCGAAAAAGATGACTGAGCCACCTGAGCTAGCTCCTTTCGAAATGAAGGAGCAACAACTCTACTCTGACTCTACTCTGAGCTGGTGATAATATGTATGTAGAAAACGTTTAACATCTTTGAGTTAATCAGATAGAAATGGGAGCAAAACTAAAAATATTACTTTTATATTTTTGTTGAGTATAGAAGCCTCTGGACCCACAGCACCATTGGCAACAAAATAATGATCAATCTGACTTGAAATGCTTTAATGTAACTATTAAATCTAAATCTAAATCTATCTTTTGGTTATGGATCAAAAGATGTTATGTTCCTTCAATCAAAGCCTGATAAATACAAACACTGCTGTTAACATAACTCACTTTTTACCAAAATGACCACTTACAGATTTAACGATGAAATGTGTTGCTGCGCAGCTTACAATAACTCTTGGCTGCCCAAGAAGAAGTTTGGAAACATCAACTAGATTTTAATTGAGATCAGGCTTCTGAAATGGCACAATACTAAAAAAACATTCAAATAGATGGACTGTGGTTAACAGTTTTGTCAGCTCCAATATACCAGCCAGTTTAAATAAGCTTGCCCAATGAAGTCAAGAGAAGATAAAGACTTAGGTCAGAAGTTTTTTTATTGGGTTTAGAAAACTATTTTTTCTGCAATTCAATGCATGCAGCTTTATTTTTTTTTTACATAACTGATGCTGTGTGCATTTTAATCATTCCACCAAATATAAACAAAGCTCAAAACATCCTTTATTACACTTTATCCAGTGATGAATACAGGCTGTGTACAAATAGACAGTCTAGGGTATCATACCATAAAAGATCTCTGAGAGCAACAAAGCTTTCTGCTAAAACCAATGAGCATTGATAACAAAACAATCAAAAATAACACTATTATGATAATCTGTCCAAAATGGATTTCCTGACCATCTCTTTTAAAAGAACAGTAAAATGAAGGGTGTTCTAGGTATTCTGGGAAGGTCAAGTTCCTCAGTTGGGTAAAGCATTCGGTCTGGTTGATGTCAGGCAGTCTAACCATCATCTCATTTAAGACAGTCAGCCATCTGCTGTTGCAGCAGTTGAACTTATTCCCGCTGATAAACATTGCAGTCTGGTTTAAGGATAGAGTCTGAAGCAAAGAGCAGTTTAGGCTTGTAAAAGCATTGTTTCTTACATCGATTACTTTTAGAGAGGAGCAAGCTAAGCTGCCAGGTGTTTTATTGAGTTTGTTGTTTGATATGTTCAGGTTGGTCAGTGCGGGCATGCAGGGTAAAGATAGACCTGAACTGTTCATGCTTATCTCACTGATAATCAACGACTGTAATGTTGCTTGCACACCCTCCAGCGCCGCCTCGCCTATAACCATGTGATTGTTTTTGGCAAGATTCAAGGAAATCAGAGATGTTCCCTGAAAGGAGGTTGGCGGAAGTATCTTTATATAATTTTCTCTAAGATTGAGGTGTTTAAGAGTTTTTAACTGTCCAAACGCAACGCAGGAAGAATTGAGATCGAATATTTTTGGAAGAGATTTCATCAAAAAACCACATGGTTGCACTTGGTTTTCCTGCAGATTAAGCGTGTCGATTTGAGGGAGTGCCTTGAGGAAAAAGGGGGAAACACTGGTGAGACTGTTCTTCTGCAAGTCAAGGCACTTTAAGGAAGGAAAACGAATCTGACGAACTTGACTCTGATTATGATAATTCCTAATGTCCCAGTTTATGTGTTGCAAACAGTTATGACTGAAATTCAGGGTTTCTAAAGAGAAGAGCAAGCTTAGTGTCTCAAGAGGAAAAGAAGTGAAGTGGTTAAAGCTCAGGTCAATGTAAGCCAGTGGCATTAGCCTCCAGTTTGCATGTAGATAATTCTTTCTATGTATTCTCTCCTTCATAATGTGCTGATAAAGAAAATTTACTTCAGTTACCATCACAGCCTCTGAACCCAGAGCACCAAGCAAATTATTCTGCAAGTAAAGATGCTTCAGTTTATTCAGTTTTGGTAGAATTGGAAAGTATAACAGCTTGTTGTGGCTGAGGTCAAGAACCTCTAGGCTGTACAATGCAGCATCCTCACGAGTAACAAAGAACTCCAATGAATTTCTGCTGAGATTCAAATACTTCACCTGATGGAGAGTAAAATCACAGATAAATGCAAGATTATTTCTGGCCAAGTTGAGAGACTCTAATCGGCTCAGTGGTTCAAATGTCTGCTTTTCTATTTCTGATATCAGATTATCTTCAATAATAAGATTCGTTATGCCTTTACTTTCTCGAAACATGCTGGGTGACAGTTTTATCAAAACATTACCAGTCATCTTAAGTTGATCAAGAGAAGACTTGTTTCTCAGTAATAGTTCTGCAGCACTATTACTCAAGCCGTTCATCGATATGTCCAAACTCTTGAGTCTGCCAAGGGATCCGAGGGCTTTGCTGTTGCTTCCAAGGCTAACGCTCAGTCGATTCCTGGACAAATTCAAGTGCTCGAGCCGGGCCAGGTTTCCAAAAGCCCCCTCGGAGATCAGATCCAGCTGGTTGCCGCTCAGGTCAAGCTGCTCCAAATATGGCACAGCAAGCGCATGTAGCTGTGTGATGAAGTTATTTGATAAATCGAGCCTTCGAAGCTTCACATCCAGATCCAGAGGGACAGAAGAGAGGTTCTGGTTATTCCAGGACTGCTTCTTGAAATGAGATGAACATTAATCATGGCTAAAATAACTTATATACCCCAAATAAAGCATGAGGTTGAACTAAAAGCATCCCTTTTAAGGATTGCCATTGTGCCTACCTTTGAATGATGAGTCCACCCAGGTCTGTACAGATCAAAGGTGATTGACCAGACAAGTATGAGATTAGAGAATATATGTCTAACCATGTCTGCTCTGCTATGCTGTACTACTGCTGTTGTTAGAGCGCAGACACGCCACCTCTTATAGCCATGCTTCATGAAAAAAAAAAAAAGAGGGTAAACAGCTGTGGATGCCAGATAGGGACGATGTGGCAACTATTTTTAGATGGAGTCATGTCACTTTTTAATAAAATGGAGGAACACATTTATCCATTAAACTCAAAGGATATATATATATATATATATAAATGGATTTCCAACATAAATCCTCACATTTTTGTCAGTTTTTTGCAATTAAGATACAATAAACACATTTAAAAAGGTTAAACAATAAGCATGGAAATGACATAAAGTGGTTTTATACAAACATCTTTAATTTTTTGAGACATTGTAGTATTTACAGTGCATTGAGCAATTTTGTTTCAACCAGGAAAAAGCTTTACAAAGCACTATAAATTTATACATTTATTTGTTCCTGTCAAAGTCCCTGGAAAACGGAAATCAGTCCTTAAATAGAGAAGAGGAACAAATAAACAGACAACGCGTTGGTGGAGCAGGAGGGACCGGTGAGGTATAAAGGGACGCTCTGAAATAGAGTGATGAAAGGACCTGGTCAGACAAAAAAAGAACAGCAGGGGAGGAAACTAAACAGGGAAAACGGCTTAAAATAGACATTTTAAAGGATAATAATATCTTTTTATTTGATTATCAATGAAAAAAGGTGTAGGTATCTATCAAGTTTTCTTTTCTTTTTTCTTTTATTACAGAATTTTAATTTCACACTGAACATTTTCTTGACATTTCAGGAAAAATACCCCATGATGAGTAGTAATTGTCTTTTATACTTTAGTTTTTTTAATTTATCTTTGGTTTTTAACTTTACTTGAAACAAATACAAAAAGTTTGAAGAACTGCATTTAAGTATGGATTCTTTGAGCCCCCAAGCTTAATTGCAACCTTTCCATGGAGCCAACCTGGTTAGAATATAGTAAAACGATATTCTATTTAATCTGAAGAGATAATGTTTGAATTGTTTCATCTAGAGGGAATAGGGTGCATGCATGATGGCAGGAACTATGACAAAAAAAAAAAGATTTCATATTAAACAATCATGTCCTACACTGAAATTATGCACAATGATACAATAACATAATATTTGCAATATGTAGAGCAGATATTTATTAATTAGAGGTTAGCCAAGTCTTATCAACTCTCTAACTAGGATTGAGCGCTTCCAAACAGACGATAAATTTTGTCTTACTGGTTTCACTCCAGGTGGGGTTGGGGTGGAACAAAGGATGAATATGTAGAAAATCATGTCATTCCTGTTGTAACGTATGTAAGAAGGTCTGTGGTGCTGTGGGCAAGCATCTCTTTTAAAGACCCTGTAAACCTCATCAAAGTGCACAGCTTAATGCATCCTTTGAAATTAGGTTACTAAAGTTACTGTAAATAAAGAAAATATGATGAAATCAACAAAGCAAATGTTACAGAGACACACAATCAGCATTCCTCCATTCATTACAGTTATTCTAAATGGACAATGTGCGTGGACAGCAGAACAGGAGAGAGGATTCAGGGCTGAATAATCAAAAGTTGTCAACAATTCCCCTCTCCATATTTTCAAAACATTGTCAAATCTCACATATGGAAACAGTTCTTTTTTTCTCTTTACACTCGACAGTTGCTGAAGTTAAAGGCTTGGCTAATTCTTCCATAGAGATAACCTCACTGTAAAGCTTTTTACACTTCCTTACTATCAGTAAACGGTCAGCTTTCAGTACATATATATTTAATACACGTAAACGTATCCAGCTTTTTTCCTGTTGCTGATAGCAGTTTATCACAATCCCTTCACACAGTTCAGTGTCAGTTTCCCACTTCCTGCAGTAACGATATTTATTCACTTGGGCTTTTTTCAGTTGAGCTTTATGGCACCAAAAAATGTTGAGTCAGCCTCAAGAGAGATGAGTGCAGATGGCCGAACACTGATCACCATTTCCAGCTCTTCTCCCCGTAGCAAGTGCACAGTGCCTGTAAGAAAGTATAAATATGAAACCATTCGTATGAATTAAATCCAAAAATACTTTTAATATGTTTTTGCAATTTCAGTTTTTTCTGGAAGAAAAAAAAAAAGATTAAAATAACCAAACGTATTTTTTCAACCTAATTAGTCTGGACAAATTCTTTGAATATTGCGGGGACCTGCTTTTTTCTTATAGTTCAAAAGTTCAATGTAATTCAAAATATACATTTCTGTTTTGGGTTAAAATAAGTTCCTTAAACTTAATCATCACACTTAAAACTATATCTTTGAAACTAAAATGATCTACCTTGCATTTTCTATGATATATATGTATATATGTATTCAATGTGTGCTTTACATTGCAGAAATTAAAACTATGAGTACGTCTTTTTGAAAATATGTTATTTTCCCCTTGGTTTGAGCAGGGAAGGAAAAAGGAATAAGATGATTTTTGTTGAAAACAAGAAAGATAACAACCCATTATCTTATTTCAAGTGCATAATATCAAACAATCTTATTTTAAAGGAAAATAATACCCACTGGAGTGGCTTATTGTGATATTAACTTTTTAAACTAGGGGTAAAACACTTATTCTAAGAAATCTACTTATTTTTAATACCGGTACGTTTTTGCTGTGCATTTAGTGAGAACCTTTGAATTTCATAACTTAACCACAAACCATCTCTGTGCAATTTTTTAACTACTTCTGGATTCTTTTAAAGATACAACAGCAACGTTACCTTCATGAATAAGACATTTGTTTATATTTTGTCATTTTACCCAAATATATCATATTACTGTTGGTCTGACATGGACTAACAAGAACTCATTCCAAACAGAGGCTACATGGGAGGATGTATGTTTGAAGATATGCATTTCAACACACATTAAATTGTTTAGTGACCCCATTTGCCCATTTTGGGACTATTTGTTATTATTCCCCACATTTCAGTAGAGCTAGTTAACATGTGAGGGAGTGCTGAGAGAGAAGCTGAGGCACACAGACCTACAAAAGTACAGGTTAAAGGAATAGCTCCCATTTTATAGGTAAAGGTTTCTTGCCTGTTTAGTTGCTAGAATTAAAATAGCAGACAATTGTAATATATAAACATAGCATGCTCCATTTTCGGATTCCTTACTTTGATATAAAAACATAACTTCTATGATTAAAGTTACGCTCCTGCAGGTAAGAATTAAAATTAAACATGCCTAAAATAACGTCCCTAATACTTTTCAAGGTTTCCTGATCTAAGATTGTACTTGGAAAATAAAAGTTAACAGCATTTTTAAACATGTAGATTGAATTTGATTCATAACTCATTTCACCCTAAATCAAATAGAACATCTAAGGCACTCAGAAAGACCTTTTTAGGTATAATTCCTCCTCTAAATACAAACAATTGACTTTCTTCCTGACTCAGTTCTAGGCTGTAAAGCGCCACGTAGCCAGAACAAGACTCCTTTAATAAATATTTTGTAATAAATAAAAATTTGTAGTTTCTGTAGTTTTACTGATTTTACTCTTTGAATGAACAGGAAGCTCTTTTAAGGTGTGATTTTTTTTAACATCTGAAGCAAAAGGATATTTAAATTTAGATCATATTATATTAAAGAACTTTGGAAAGAACCTAAACCTCCTCATTGGGTCTTACAATCCACATTGTTATTTTTATTTCAATAAGGATACATTTTTTCATGGGAAAAAAAAAAAAAAAAAAAATCTATATATATATATTTTTTTTTTTTTCTTGTGTCAAGAAGTCCCTAAAAGTGGGAATGAAAATAAAAATCAATAATAAAGTGCATCCAGCACCTGAAAAGAGCTATGGTCAGTAAAAAGATATATATATATATATATATATATATATATATATATATATATATATATATATATATATATATATATATATATATATATATATATATATATATATATATATATTTTTTTTTTTTTTTTTTTTTTTCTTTTTTTTTTTTTTTTTTTTTTTCACAATATAAACAGAAAGAATTAAATGGTTGATATCTTGCCATAAGATTCTGACATTACAAGAAGTATCAGACTTGTGATTCGGTCATATTTGGGTCATTCTGACATTCTGGAAAGCTCAGTGGTTCCCTTTTACAGTAGAGTATTACCAGTTAGCCATTTGCAGAAAATCCGCCCATCATTTGATATCCATGCTTTAAAGTCATCTGGTTTGCTTGGTTTTAATTATAGTTGATTTGGGTCATATAGTTTTCTTGTAACTATTTATGGTTCAGGGTTTAATGGGATTCTTTGTGTTCTACTTTGTGTAAAGCACTTTGGTCAGTGGGAATAAAGGTTTTAAATGTACTAATAAATACATTTCGACTAAATGTCAGACCAACCCAATTTATCAGTTTTTATAAATCATAGTAATGCTTAATGATGTTTAAATGCAGCAGTTGTGGCTCTGACCTGCTGTGTAGCATGTATTGTCCTCAGCTCCCTCTTTTATATCCTGCAGGCAACGCAAGAGCTCTACAGGTCTGGTCTCTGCCTCAGTGGAGCTCCAGCATTGAATGACATGACCCATAACTGTGCTTTGACTTTCAAACAAAACCTGCGAGTTGAGAAGAACATTAGCTTGGAACAAATCATACGCAATATCAACTTAGTTACGCTGGATTTAGAATGATACAATACTTGTCCAAACACCAAGTAATAACCATCTTCTTGGACAACGATCCTATTTTCTCTCTGTGAAATTGTATTTCCTCGCTGCGCAGAAACAGTCCAGGGGATCACCGTTATATTTCCTGGGGGAAAAGGAAAGACACATTTATTCAAAATAATGGCAGAAAGGAGCAGGGCCGAGGCCAAATTTTTGAAGTTAGTTTTTACCTCTTCTGTCTGGTTGTTTGCTAGCGATTGCTCTTAACTGCAGGAATGATGTGGGAGCTGGCAGGAGAGGTGGACAAACATCATGCTTTAATTCTATTAACTCTGCAGATATCCTTACTGATACCACTACCACCAGATTACACTGTAAAGCCCAACATCTCTAAAATCTAACATCTCAACATATACATGAATAAAGTTAGTAATAGTCAGATAACTGGACTTTATAACGCTCAATTTTTCTAAAAAGTATTTTGCTTTGAAAAAAATTAAACTTTTGGACATGTTCTGAATTTCCATGGAGTTTATTTATAATACTTATAAAGTACTGTTGAAATTTTAGATGTTTGTTTCTTTATTTGTTTTTTTAGGAAAGCTTGATGTGCTCAAATGAGTGAAATGTTTTATGAAGCCTAGGTGGAAGTTCAACTGAAGAAACTAAACCTGCCTCTGACGCATCTACAGTTCATCTTAAAAGGTCTTCAAATCCACGACTCAGTCTGCTACCAAGCCAATCGCAAGCAGTGGTTGAGCTATGTCTGATTTTGACTCAGATTACCTCGTTTGAACCCACCTTCATCCCCTTCTCCACCATGGTAGCTAAGCTCCATCTTCTTTTCCATGGTGCTTCTTCAACTTCATCCCTATCAGAGTGTAATTCCTGCTGGACTCTTACTGATTTCCCCTTCTCATCTCAACCAGTCCGGCAGAAGACCACCATATTGAGCCTGGTTCTGCCAGAGGTTTCTTCCCAAAAGAGAGTTTTTCCTCTCCACTGCCACTTCATGCTTCCTCATCATGGACAGGTTCATGCAAACCTGTGTCGTCTCACAAATCAGCAGTCTATGGACTAACCAATTTCAACTATCTCCACTCCACCAACAGTTTCAGGCCTGGGGTGAACATCCCTGTTCTCATACACCTGATTATGCATATTAAAGTAAAAGTCAGGGCTAATGTTTCCTGCCGAGGTCTGAGCACCAAAATGTTAAAATAATTATAATATTGTTATAATTATTTATGCAACAGATCTACATGCTTGGTGAGGCTACTGGCATTTTTTCTGATCACCAAAATAAATAAATAAATAAAATGAATCGATCCTACAGTCAGCGAGGTCAAACTATGTTCACTCAACGTAGGAATCGGGATCTTGTTTGGTTGATGAATCATTAAATATAATATGTTGTAAAAATGCTGGTTTATGGAGCATTATACCATTAGAAAGTCCTATTTTTATTCCATTATACTGATGATGGTCAGAGGGCCTAGTGATGCCAGTTTATTGCTGTTAGTGAGCCTCATGGCATCTGTGGCTATACTGTAGCTTGCCACCATCAGTTTGTGCGTCTGACTTGAAAAAGCACTGTATAACTACGGGGCATTTACCATTTACCAAATTTATTTTTATTATTATCATGTCTATATTGGTCTTGTCTTTTTTTTATAAATCTGGGAAAGTTTAAGAAATGAGTCTTGTTCTGCTGGAGATTTCTTCCAGTTAAAATGGAGTTTTTCTTCCCACTGTCGCTACAAGCATGCTTAGTCTGAGGGATTGAGTCGATGCAATCAACTGGATTTCCTTAGATAAAAAACTTTGAATTAATTTGACAGGATAATCTGATGAATTCTAAAGTGCCTTGAGATGACATATGTTGTGAATTGGTGCTATAAAAATAAACTAAATTGAACTGAATTAAATTAATTTGAAAGACTATTTCACTTTGAACCCTTTAAAATGGCTCAAGTCAGCTAAAACAGTCAACATCTGACAGATTACTGAGAATAATAAATAAATCAGCTGACCCTTTGAGTGGACTTCACTTAAATGTGAAGATTATAGCGACAATGAAAGACTGACAGCAAAACTATTTCAGAAGAAAAAAATAATACTGCCCATACATTCAAAGGATTTTCTCAGGAAATACCAGATGCATTCCCTCAAACTTTTACAGATTTTTCATGGATCTTAAAAATTTACTTTTTATAACCAGGCTGCATTATGTGACTCAACAGGTGCGTTCTGAAACTTTCCATAGAATCACATAAAAGCTCAGCTGAAGCTCCAGGAAGTATCTGGTGACTTCCATGAAAAGGATCAGAAAGTATCTGTGAACGTTCCTTAAAGAATCTGCAGACATGACTACTTTTATGAAAACAATGCAGGACATGTGAATCAGTTTGAACATTTCGGAATACCTTTACTTATGTCTTAAAAGTTAATAAACTGACAAACGGTGACTATTTTAGACAAATCCGTACTATTTAGTTTTTACAGTGCAGAACACAACTAATAAGCAAAGTTTTCTGATTTTAGTTTTTTTTTGTTGTAATTTGGTTCTAAGCTCCAACCCACCTCTGCAGCTGCTCTGCTCCCTTTTAACTCTCCCAGAAAAGCTCTTCAGAGAACTCTGAGCTCTTTGGAAAACACTTTGCTTCATGTCCTCAGAGAAAACAAAGCATTAAGAGAAAATTTATTATTGCAGAACCATTTGAATGCTCACTAATGGCATAAATCTCAGAAGTATGATGTCCAAGATGACGGCATAGTGCGTAATCATTGACATACCTCACTTGTTTTAGACATCTTGGCCAATTTCCAGTGGACTCCCTCAGAACGTTGTTGATTCAATTGCTGACTTATGTCCCCTCGGAGTTTGTAAAGATCTCTTTCTAAAACTCTGACCCTGTACACGAGGATAAGGCTAAGACAAAACATGATCGCCGTTAGTGAGAATAAAGCGTTGTAGAGCATAATAAGACCTGCTGACTGGATGTTCCTCCAGCTACTCAAAGGGGTGAGGTCGCACATCAGTGCACGCCGGAAACCTGCAGTTTCAAAATGAGTTTCTAAATGAGGAACTGTCCTCTTAGAGATGGAACTCATTTAAATACTGGTGAAATTACAGCGTGTTTTGAAACTCTCAGACAACATAAAAAGCCACATTTTAATAAAGACAAAGCCCTCGCTCGCACAGCATCATTTATCCTTGTCAGCGCTCATGCCAGCTCCGGCTGATGTGAAAAGGGAGGTTTGAAGCCTTTAAATGAACACCGCCGGCTGCACACAAAAGACGAGGGAGGCGCGCTTAGGCAGAAAATGAAAACATTTTAATCCATCAATCAACTCCATTTACAAAAGTATATTCCATTTATATATACATTATGTACAGGCGTGTATTAACAACTTGTTACTCTACATGGATTCAGTCATAAGGCAACTAATCAAAAGCACTTTGGAAACATATCACCGGTATTCTGCAAGGAGGCTGTAGTGCAAATGTGTGCAAAAAAAAGAAAGAACATTTTTAATATATATAGATCTATATATAGATCTATATATATATACATACACACACATACATATATGTATATAGTGCTGCTGCTCTTTGAATACTTTCCTCCTTCTTTGCACCTTGTGGAGTTTTCAACCCAACTCTTCATGACTAATAGTAAAAGGCTTAAATAATAAAAAGAGGAACCAAATCCCAAAATCACAAAAACAGTCCCTCATTTAAAGTACCCTTTTTTTTTTTTTTTTTACATTACTACATTACAAACACAAACTTTAAAGCTTTTTTTTTGATGGGTCTACACAAATTAGCTGTGAAATGGAGGAAAAATAAAAGATATTCAATTTTCTACAAAAATAAAATGCATATTTGCATTCAGTCCTTCCTTTTGTGATACCTTTAATTAAAATCCAGTGCAACTAAATGTCTTTATAACAACTTTGACTGGCAAACAAAGTTCAGCTGTGGTTAATTTGATCTCAGCTGTAATCTGAAGGCCTCAGAGGGAGTAAAATAACAGAGGAGCAACAGGAAGACCAGACGGGTCTCGAATCAAATTGAAGTGGGGTTAGGTTATAAAACAATATCCAACACTTTAAACATTTCAATACATCATCTGCAAACAGAGAGTATGGGCCAACAAACCATGGTGTGGATGTTTATCTAGAACGGGGTCTGCAGCCTGCGGCTCTGGAGCCAGTGTCTCTTTGGTCCTCTTATAATGGCTTTTAATTGTGGCTAATAATAACAATAGAGAACCAAACAGTTTTTTTTTGAGTACACTAAAAGAATAAGTGCCAGTTTTAGAAGCTTTAAGTAGAACATCATTGAATTTCCACAACAGCCGGATATCAGAGGAAACCAATAATATGGTTTAAGATATATTTTTACATTACCTTTGAATCTATGTGCTTTAATTTTTATTTTTATAGATAAACATTCAGAAAATCCATGTTTCCTTTTTTTCTGCAAAAGATTTATGTTTTCTTTATTTTAAAACCTAAAAATACAAATGAAACATCAGTTCTTAGAACTGGAAACACATTTAATAGCAGATATTTAATAAAAATGAATTGTCTTTTATCAAAATGTCATGTGATATCTGCAGCTACTGTATAATCAGTTCTTCAGCTGCATTCAGGCTAAAATGGCCCTTTGGATTTTGAAGTATTCAGACCTTTGATCTAGACTAATGAAGAGCACAGGAAGGCACAATAGGTTCATGATTACTCTGGAGGAGCTGCAGAGGTGCGAATCATAGGAGGGAGAATCTTGCCAAGATGCACTTTACAAATGTAGATTCACACCTTAAACACTATGAAAAAAAACAATCAAACAACCTAAACGTACCATTTAAAGGTAAAACCCCGCATTGGCAGCGTTATACTGTGGGGATGCCATTTCTGTTGCAGCTGGGACAGTTAAAAATCATACATCTAATTTCCCTTTAGGATCAATTAAGTATTTTTGAATTATTATTGAATGTATTTGAAATAAATTGGTTAGAGTTGATTAGAAGATGGATAAATCTAAATACAGGGCGATCCTGCAGGAAAAACTGGTAAAGGGTAACAAAAGACTTGAGACGAGGGCAGAAGTTTTACTTTTTAGCAGGAAAACTGCTAAACTAAAGCCAGGACTCCAGGAATGGGTCAGAGATAATATATATCCACAGTCCAGTCAAAGGACGGACCTAAATAAAGCCAAGAAACCGTGGCAATGTTCGAAACTGATAGTCTGAGATGTCTTTTTGTTTCTTTTATTTGCAAAGACAAATGAGTCAAACCCTTAAACTAAGTGGGTTCAGCTAATAGAAACATAACCAAAGCCAATTTTCAGTTTTTTTATTTGTAAAACAAATATTCAACTAACAATTTTCCTTCCATATCAAAATATTGGAACACTTAATTTGGGTCGATCATCTAAAGTCGTAAAATATATTGATGTTTAAGGTGATAAAATGAGAAAAGGTTTGACAGGACATGACCCCTTAATATTGCTTCTAGGCACAGCTGTGTTTTCTGTAATTTAACAACACTTAAAAGTATGTAATTACTAAGTACCTGTCAGCACAAAATCCTTCCTTGTTATAAGAGATTGCTGCAGATAAAGGTTGGCTATAAATAAAAGGATGAGGATATTTGGTTCCAAAAGGCCGATCTCTTCTGCACAGAATCACACGGAAGGGAAGCACTGAAGTCTTTAGAGTCTATTTGAAGCAGACATCTGGAAGTGAACAACAGTCAGCAAGGCACTCCGAGTGTCCTCCACACATTGGCCTTGAGCTGAACCCTGCAATCCCTCAGACAGGATGAAATGCGTCTGCAGTTAACCGTTCTGTCCAGCAGATGGAGCCTCTCCAAGCCTCACACTGCCCAGGAAGGTGGTGTGGTTGGTCATGTTTATGAGTGTGTACTCGTGAGCTATGCGTATGGAGATCTTCTGGCCCGAGCGCAGCTGGCTCACCCCGGCTGTGTAGCAGGTGTTGAACTTGCGCTGGCCCGTCTCGATGCTGCATGTGCAGCGTAAGAATGGGCTGGAGTCGACCATTACATCATAGCTGGCGATGTCAGTGAAGTTGAGGTAGTATACCTGGTGGAGGGGGTGCGAGACAAACAAAAACACAAACACTGAGAGGGATAATCGAAACAAGTGCTGCATGAACATTTAGGGGTTTCCTGAAAGCCTAAACAGCTGCAGCAGCAGAGGCAAACTGAGCTACAGAAGGGAAAAGAATGACTCACGGGAAGGACATTAAGCATGACATCTATCAAGATCAAATAACATTTCTACTGTCATTTCAAAAGAGTTACGTCAAGGACCGTACTCACTTCTACCTGACTATATATGAAGTAGACACCGTCGAGCAGCACCACCAGCTCTCCCGTGCGAGGGTTCATCCTGAACACGTCTTTATTGATGGACACCATCTTCCAGTTCCTGAGGACGCCTTGAGACAAATCTAAACATGTCACAACAAACACAGGGCGAGACAAACGGTCAAGATAAACAGCTCATGGCTGCGTTTTAACGAAAAGCAGATCTTGGCACTGACAAGAATATAAACCTGCTTAATGATGCTTGTGCTCCGTCTCAGGAGCAGGACTGAGTTAGCATGCAAAGCTTTAGGTGGCATGGCTGGTGTTTAATCCAGGGTTACATGTGCTAACATGAAACAGTGTGTTACTGATCAAATATTCCACCTGCTGCTAAATATAAGCTCCATTTAACTGCATTTAACAGGGTTCCTACAGCATAAGGCAAGTTAAATTCAAGACTTTTTAATGCCACTTGAAATAAAAATTAAAGACCAAATTCACAAGAAACACAAGAAAAACCCACTTGCGACAACTTAACCCAAAGGTTTATTTTAAAATAAACTACTGCGCTAATGTTTTAAATTTTGAAAAGCTTCCCATACAGGAAGAAAGCTAAAAACACACAAATGACAGATATATTTTAACAATTATTTAACTGAATTCACAAACTTTGTTTTAGCAGGGAACAAAACAAATCAGTTTTAAAGCCACAACATAACCAGTGCTAAGTCTTTTTTGCAGCTATTTTTCTTTGTATCGTTTTCTTAGTACGTTTGATTTGGTGATAAGTGGAGGCGTTGCAGAGACAAGGGTGGAACTAAACTGAGAAATACCGGCTGTTTCTCGGTAAATCGATTTTGACGCTTTGTGTTTTGTGCTTCGCATGCGACTCCACTGCCTTAATTCCCATCGTTCTGAGCTTTGAATGACTTCTTACACAAAATCCACTGTGCCTCATGTATGTTCCCTGGTTTTAGCCATGGAGAAAACTCTTGGCTGGATAACCAATTTTCATTACATTTACACTTGCTCATATTTTCCAGACAAAAAGTTAATGGCGCATCTCCCAAATGTCCCGTCCGCAACAACGCTTTTATTGGTTCCGCTATCGGGACGGAACCAATAACAGCGAGCCGTTATTTTTTTTTTTATAAAAAAACATTCCAATTTTAATGTTTTATTTAGATTACAAACATAAATCGTAATAAAAATGACCCTATTTAGGATGTTTTAAAAATTAAGACCTACAAAAGACTGATTTAAGACATTTTAATACCAATTAAGGCCTTATTTTGAAGAATTCAATGCCTTTTAAGACTTTTTAAGGACCCGCTGGAACCCTGATTTAAGTATCAATTCTTCTGTAGGAGACGGCATTTGACCGCTCCAATCCATCTTTAAGGAAATTTCTCCTCTGCTGTAGTCTTATTGTGACCTCACAGTTTTTCTGTCGTACCAATTCTAGCTATATCATTGAAGTTTTTATTTTGCTGATTAACTTTTGACATACTTTATGCTTGGGGTTCCTCATCTCCAACGTTCTAGCTGAGGCCTTTCAAGTTTCGCCAAAACTGCTACTAGATTTAATTTCCAGTCAACCCCAGATCATGATGCTGCCATCACTATGTTAAACATTTAGTATAGAGTTAATTTGGAGATGAAATTGTTGCCTGAAAGTCCACTTTGTCTTATTTCAGACATGTTCGACACGGTTTCAGAGTTTTTAGTTAAACTTGCAGGTTTTCTTTAGAGGAAAAAAAGGCGGCTGTCATAAATTCTCCTTCTTAGTCCTGATTTACAGAAAATCCATAGCATTGTTGTTGGACAGACTGCTTAGTGGAAATTGCAGTCCATCTCTTGGCAGCGTCTTTCACTAGTTTCTGTTTTGATTTAATTCGTTTTGGAGATATTTTGAGCTTTTATACTGTTACCATTCCCCCTTTTTCTTTCCTCCAATAACCCATGATTCTCTTCGCTGTTAGCTCTTTGCACTCTTCTCCTGACTGATATCTTTGTACATTATATTAGGTTATAGATGTGGACTATTGTGCAACAGTATATATTTTCTTGTGCCATTTTTCCTTCCAGCAGATCGTTTTGTTTTTGCATTTTTAAATAAACACAATTTTCTCTTGCATCACACAAACTTAAAATTTTAACAGCGACTTGGAAACTTTTGAGAGCCACTGTATTTCCATGTATAGCATCTTCAGATGTGGCGTTCTGCATCTCTTGAGCGAACCATCAAAGGCATGCCAACAATCTAAAGAAATGTCATTTGTTTTCTTGTAATTCCGATGTTTGGCAGACCCGCCTGTTGGTATAACTCCAAAATTGTGTGTTTGACAAACAGCACTGACAGGGATAATTTGTGCTTATTGCTTTGTGTCAAACATATCCCTGAATGAGCATGAGCAAGGCACCCACCTTCCCTCACTTGGATTGTTGTTTCTTGTCCTTGTAAGTGAACCACTGCCGGCTGGAAAACAAAGATCCCAGGTGAATTATTTGCAAAGGGGTCAGCTAGCCCTTCACCGACAATTACATGAAGAATATAATTCAATTCAAAGGAGGGAGGCGGCGTGCTCTTACCTGGAATCTCTTTGACTTATCAGGAACTCCTGCACCAATAAAAGACAGACATGATTAAAAAAAATCCTGCAGTTCAATGCTGGAAAGAAACAAAAGGAGGAACTTTGATTAAACAAAACAAACACTGACATAGTTTAAAGATAAATCACTGCTATTCTGCACAATGTTTGACAACCTGAATCAGACAGCCTCACTGTGGAGGCAATGAGTTAATCAAATTTGACAACTTGAGCCCCCTTTTAGTGTGGGAAAGTGGCTATGTTCTGGAGGAACCCTGTAATCTAGGTGGAAAATCTCTCTTCTCGGTTCATCTTGGCGAGTCTTATACCTGCCGGACCTTGAGCGCCTGGTGGTCCCTGCGGCCCTGGGGGCCCAGGAGGTCCTGCAGGCCCCACAACGTTGCTTCCTGGAATACCCGGGATCCCTGGGATGCCCGGTGGACCCTGTGGCCCTGGTGGCCCCGGGGGACCAGGGGGTCCTGGCATAGGCCTTTTCCTCCCTGAGAAAAATAAAAGTCAGTCAAATATAGTCAGAAATAAAACACACTAATAACTTGCATGACCTTAGAGTGTGTAATAATAGAATGAAAGATGAGAGCAAAAAACATTTCCTGTTAGAAAGAACTACACTGAAATAGCAGCGCAACACAGTCTGGTGAAAGAACGGTTACACTGGAAAAAATTTAAATCTAGATGTTTAATTTTTTCTTAAAATGAGTGCATTTGATCTTGAATTGAGGTAAGTGAGACATTTTGTGAATGAAAAAAGACAATTTAGATTTAAAATATGAAAAAAAAAACAATTGCATTGTCTTATTTCAAGCGCATATTATCTAATTATCTGATTTTAAGAGTGAAAATACTGTTTTCATTGGCAAATCATCCTATTTAATTCTCAGATTAAGGGTCAATACACTTAATTTAAGAAATGTTGACTTATTTCTAGAATTTTTTTCCAGTGTGGAACCCCAAACCCTACCGTATTTATATGTAATGTTATAGACCAACACAAAGCAAGTTAGAAGCCGGAGAAAAATGACACACTGTTTTCAAAATTATTAATAAAATAAGAAACTAAACCATTTTAAAAAGTGACAAGTTTAAAAATCTACTCCAGAATATGTGGGAAAAAAAACCTGAAACAAAATCAGTTTACATATTTTAGCACAGATATTCATAATATTTAGTTCTGGACATGTTTAAATGTAAAACTTATCTAGACTTTGTTTTTAGTCGTGTCCATTCTTCAATTACCCCTCATCTGCTTTTTTTATCCTTTGGAATCTCTTTGTTTCATTGCAGGGATGAACGGATCTGAGTGAAGGTTTATTAAAGGTTAAGTTTTGGTTTTATTTAATCAGAGCATCTTGTTCAACATGTCTATCTTTTCTCAAGACTTTTTTTTTTTAAAACAATTGCATTTATATTGTTACTCTTCCTTGAAGGCCAGCTTTGTAATTTTGTGGCAATCTTGACTGCGGGGTGTTGTAGTTTAGGAGGAAGGCCTCAAATTGGTACATTTGCAATTATTCTATACTCTGTCGATGTTTACGAGGGATAAAGCAGAGCTCATTGTGATGCTCAAAGGTTTGTATGATGAGTTACACCTCAACGTTGCTCGAAACCGCTTTAAGTTTCAATCCCTGAACCGTCTGCTTTGTTCAGTGATCTTTGACCTCTGAGGCCTCGTCAGAATGACTGTATTTGTACTCACTTTAAATCACATATTGGTAGACTATTCATCAATAATGTGAATTCTGGAGAGAACTGGTTGTACTCCATTTTATTAAGAAGTAGGAAACATAGCAGAACAGACCACATTTTTTTAGACGTTTTTGTAAAAAAGCTTTCCGAAACAATAAGGGTTTCAACTTTTTATAGGTCTGGGCACTGTACCAGCTGGAAACACATGATATGAATTATCTATAACCAAAATAAAAGCGGGGAAATACCTTTTTTCTTGTCTTTCCGCTTCTCCTTCCCATTTGATTCTGAAAGAAAGAAAAACAGCTCGATTATTCACAAAAATGGCATCCCCTGGAACAATTACCGTCTCGGATAATGTCCCAAAAAGGTCCTGCCTCTTTCCGTGCATGTAACCTAAACAGGCTTAAAATACCAGATCCAGACGATGCGCGGCGAAAACTCGCAGGAGTGGAAGGTATGTCAGGCTGCGGTATGTCGTGGTGCAGTAATTTGTAAGTGCGGTTTCACCTCCTCTGTATGAACAAGTGCCTAAAGCATTCGCAGGCAGTGGAACTGGAGAAGATCATTAGAGAGATACTTTATCCTGCCAAAATCCTTTTCTTTGAATCAGGTCCAGATGGAGGATGCAGATGAAAGTGTGTGTACATGTGAGCTTGTGTTTGTTTAAACATGCATTCCCACCCCAATCCCCCCGTGCCCCTGGTTGCTATACTGCGTGAGGCCGTGCATGCTTGGATGCTAACTGGGGCAACTGTGTCACCACTTACAAAAAAAAAAAAACGTGCACGCTTGCATATATGTTGAGGAATCCTTTCAAAATGCCAGCTTTGCTCGTGTTTACCATGTCATTAGAACTACAAAGGCCATTTAACCTTAAAACCTCACAGTTTGAGTCCCCCATCAAACATATGGGCCAGTATTTCTCCTCTGGCTAAATGACTGGATGCATCCGCGTAGATTTTCTCTTAACGAGCAGCCCTATCTGGAATCTGGTGCCCGTTAGAGGAGCACTGCAGACACACACACACACGTGCACCCAAGGACACACATACATATATACGCACACACATACACACATCTAAGGCTGAGATTACAAAAGCCTTTGTCTGTGCGCTCGGCGCAGAGGAGAGACCTGGGAATGATTAGTGTTTAGAGGCTCAGGATTTTACTGATGTATGTAGAAACTCTCAAAGGTGAGTTTTTTCTCCTAATTTAAACACAATCACTAAATTCCCCCACTGCCGCCCCACCCCAAGTATTCAGTGTCACGCCACAGACGCTGGAATGCCTTGTGATCATGGAGCACTTGTTGCACTCAGACATGAAACATCAAAGATGTTTTTTTTTTTTATTATTTCCATCAGATTCCGAACAAAAGTTAATTCAGACATATTGCCTACATATTTTCATTTTTTTGGTTTTCCAAGGAACCACTTATTAACATAAATCAGTTTAAATTCATGAAAGCCATCAACACTGCTGATTTTTATTCCTCCCGTTCAGACGTGCATTGAAAGGTGCGAACGGCATTTGTGAGACTGGAGAATTTACAGCGTTTCTCTGTCTGTTTCGAATTGATGCAACCCTCCCAGAGCTCATGTTGTCCTTGCTTGCTATCCAAGTATTAATCAATTCCATTTCACTTAATGTTTTCGCTTTAAAGTCACTGCCAAATGATTGTTAAGTTAGCACAAAGAAGTAAAAAAAAAAAAAAAAAACTAAAATAATTAATTCCACAGAGAAGCGAGAAGCCATTAACATCCAGTTTTCAGAATCGAGAAGCTTTAAGCCCGACATCAGCCCTTTATTTACACAGTAACCAAAGCCTGTTACTACAGTAACAATTGCTCAACAGTCAGTCAGCAGGTGCACTGTGGTTTACAGAGATGAATGCATCCAGGAAATGGCAAAGGTTAATTTCCCTGCGATTTGTTTTATTGGTAACCAGCAGGTCAAAAATTAAATAAATGTTTTTTTTTCTTCATAAAACGCATCAAATTAAAACCTAACATGTTTATTTTTAATGGAGTTTGAGTTTCCTAAAGCCCAGCTTAAAGCAACACCAAGGACATGTAACTTGAAAGGTTAAGCTTCTGCTAAATTAAACAGCCTCCCTCTGCATTACGGAATCTGATATCAGACAAATTTGAATCAGCAGATTAAGAAGTCATGGAGTTAGTCGTAAAGATGAGGACACATTGCCTCCTCTAGATTAAATCCTACATCAGAGAAGCAAAAAATATCCTTTATCTGCTTTGCTCAGACTCCCTTAAAAACGGCACTTTGGGTCACATTACGTATTTACAATTACAGGGGTGACTTATTGAGAAGACCAACCCTCACGGAGCAACAATATATAGCAAGCACTCTAAATTAAACTGACAATCATTTAATCTCAGATTAGGCTCCAGTTTAGATCAGCAGTTACACAGTGTTATTTTAAAGATGGATACACCTCGTAAATCATAAATAGGCAAAATCTTGGAATTCAGTCTTTTTCTATTGGATTCAAAACTATTACATTATGTCTATCAAATACCTTTTATGTTGTATTATAGTCGTAACTAAGGTTGTTAAAGGCCAGAAAATCTTAAAGCTATATCCTGGATTAAACATGAGTTTTAAAACTTTACATGTTGGCCTAGGGCTGAAAGATAAATCAATTTTATCCATCTATGAATTTTACCCCCCCCCAATAATCCACTCCTTGGGCTTCCATAGCTCAGAATGACATCACTTCCTGATGTGTACTAATAAAGGATAAACTGGCTCACTGTGTAAAACCAGTAGCTACAGATATTTTGTTTAATATTTTTATTTCTTGTGGGGAAGCATGATAGTTTTAAATCACGTTACCCTTTAAAATAAGCTCACCTCCAAAAGTGGATTGAAATAAAAGCTAGCTTTTAAAAGTAACTTATGACTTTTGTTCATTCTTTATGATGAAACTTAAAGGAAAAAAAGAACAAAGAAAATAAAAAAGTAGATTAATCAGACTTTTTAATGAAAACATTTTAGATTAGATTTCTAATCCATATCGCTCAGCCCTAGATAGGCGCATAATCAGAGTTTAAAATATAGAAAACATGTTTTAGCATAAGTAGAGTAAATAGTTAATAATATACTTACTTACTGCAAAAACCAGTCAGCAAGAAAATGAGGCCAAAATGTTGAGGCCATGCATGCTTTTCAGACAGGAACAAACCCTGGTGTGTTTTGATAAAGTTTTATCCATAAATAAAAATTGAAATATACGGAAGAGGATTAGGGCCAGTGGAAAAAAAAAAAAGGAACTGATTTTTAAATTTTATTTCAGTTTAGTATGGGAAAAAAAGTCAGAATTCTGACTTTAATCCCAGAATTCTGACTTTATTCTCAGAATTCTGACTTTAATCTCAGAATTCTGACTGAATTCTGACAATAAAAAAAGTCATAATTCTGAGAGAAAAGTCAGAATTCTGACTTTTTTCCGTGTTAAACTGAAATAAAATATAAAAATCAGTTACCTTTTTTTTTTCAGTGGCCCTAATCCTCTTCCGTAGGAATATGCTGATTATTAATAGTTGAATTATGTATGGATCTCTACCTAAGGAAACAAAAGCTTGTTTAAACTGCCAAAAATTTCCTTTCAATTTCAAAAAGTTTCCGATTTAACATCCATTTCCCAAAACTCTACTTAAAATATGCGGGAAGTTTATTTTTTTCCTATTTCCAAAGTTAATCCAAACAATAGAAAAAGATATTTGGAACTGATGGCTTCAATTCATCTTGCTGGCCAGAAGCAAGTCGTCAATATTTCATCCACAAGTGGAAAAATGACAAAATGGGAAACTCAGCATCCGATTACAGCTTCTCTATAAGGGTGTGGATGAATAAAAAAAAAAAGAAAAAGAAAAAGGAAGGAAAAACAAAACAGCTCCCACCTGTGTCTGGATCTCTGCCGGGACTCCTTTTTCCCCGTCGAGTCCTCCCTCTGCTGTCTTTTGTTGCGTGGATGTCGCCTTTTCTGAAGGCAGACCTCTCCTAAAGGGTGACACAAAGAGGGAAAGGAAAATTTCAAGCACAGAAAGTTACACAAAACTCGATCGTGCCACAAGCGTTGAACAAAAGGGCCCTGAACCGAACAGCTGTGGATATCAATAGCGTGTGCCACCTGAGACAAATACTCAGAAGTAAACAGAAAATACAGGAAAAGCAATCCAGAGTTTCTTTGTTAGGGAAACACATGTTGCGAGTATTGGTTCTTTTCTTGGCAAATAATGTTTGCACAGAAACAACTCGAGGCATTTAAAACGACGCGAGCCAGGACATTCACTTGTGGCTAAGTCATTGTCTGTCCCAACAGGGGCAGTAATTTATCCCGTAACCCGAGTCATTTCTGTCTGCGTCTGGGATCGTCACCTGGCCACGGCTGCTCTAAAATTCACCTTTTTACACAAAAGGGACATAAGGTGCAGCTAACTTGAGAGCAGTAGCTATTCATGGGGCACCTGGTCCCAGCCCTGTTCACTGGTGACATGAATGAGCAAAGAAAGAAAAAACAAAAGTCAAAGAAACAGATCTGATGCAGCGGGTTTAAGATCCATAAATTCAACTCTCCACAGCTGTGTTGTTACATGACCTACATCCTGGTGTACTGACCTGACCCTGGCTCACTCAGCCTGGAGTTTCAAAGCGATTAAAAACTGATTCCCCTGAAACCCGACGCTAAAAACACTTCCTTTCATCGTGTCCACCGTATTTCTTTTTCCACTCATGCTAAAAGTAAACCAAATAAAAGGTAATAGTGCACACCATTAAGCCTTCTATTTATTGACCACATAAAGAGCTTGACCTTTGCAAGGTAACCATTTCCAAAAGGGCAGGTACATCTAGATCCAGAGGAAACACTGAAAACAAAGTTAACTTTGACCTTTAAATCCATCTTTCCTAGTTAAAGAAAACAGCATCACATGTAATCTCATGTTTACATTAATAATGAATGAATAATTGTAATTTCCCTCTGGGATTATAATGTCTAAGTATGTCTGATTTTGATTGAATTCCGAAATGATAATTCGATAAAAAGCTGGGCATGATCTCAATCTTAAAATCTCATTCTTAAAATAAACATTTACAGCTTTCAGGTTATTATTTACCAGCTCCGCTAATCTAGGGTAGAGCTAAACCGATTCAGCTTATCTGATTCAAATGTTGAAGCAGTTTATTTAACTAAGGTGATTTTAAGGCTGGGCAATTTATTAGAATATTACTGTTAACATGGGGAGTGGTGGACTAGTGGTTGTGAGTTCAAAACCTCTCAAAAACTTTCACAAATTGCCACTCTGTCTCTCTGAGCGAGACTGTGATTGCTCCCCGGTTGCTACACGATGGAAGCCCACTGCTCCCCAAGGGGATGGGTTAAATACAGAGGTAAATTTCTCCAATATGAGATCAATTAAGTTAAATTATTATTAAAAAAATATTACAAAAGGAGGGTTTTAACGTCTAAAGGAGATCTTAAAACAGGGGAATTGCTGAATAAAGGTTGGTAATCATAGCCATCTTTTAATGTCACAGAGATCTCCAAAACTTTAAAACCATAGTCAAAATGCACAAAAAGAGAAAATGAAATATTAGCCAATATACCAACAGGCCGGCTAAATGTACATGATGCTGATATTTAACTTTTTTGCCTATTTAGAAACTGATTTTCAATGTTTTCTCAACTGTTTTATGTCTATTCTCCAAATAGGCCAATCTAAGCTATATTCTAGATGACGTAGCTTCAAAAGAGAGTTGGCTCACTTGGATTGTACTCAGAAGCATCAGACTATGAGGAAAAGGTAAGCAAAGCTTGAAACGTCTTTGCAGATCTTCATCAATAAAATATTTTATAGTCTAAACACAGTTTTATAAGCTGGATGCCTTTTCCTTTCATCTAATGACCTCACTCTATGCTACGTCTTAGTCTATACCACTCAGAATCCAAATAAAACACACTGAAGATAGTTTTAAAATGAAGAAATGTGAAAACGTTCAAGAGGTTTAATCAGGAAGTGCCAATGACATGATATTGCCCCCTACTGGTACGCTGTGAACTCCCAGTGCCTCTCTGTGTGGTTTAAAACCAAAACCACTGACAGACCATAAGAAGACAGACACAATAAGTTATGTTTCCAGTTTTCTATACCTCTTCTCAGATGTGGGATTCCTCCCCAATGCCCTGCCTGAAGCGAGTGATGAGCTGAATTATGTCGAACACCCCCCCCCAATCCTACAGCTGGTTTAGAGTGTAGTTAACATCTACGCTCTTGACCAACTGCCAGACATGTCTGACCTTACAAGGCCCGGGACATCCAGCACTGACGGACTGAAGCGAGTTGGAACAGTTTACCGACTCCCAGCCGCTCCAGATGTTTGTGGGAGCAGAAACGTTCGCTGTTCATTTGGTGTGCAGGTGCTCCACATCTCCTCTCCAGCTGCTGGCGTGGAAAAGAACAGGGGGGTTGGGTATTAAAATATTCTTGGTGTGTATGTTCAGCCATATGGCTTACACTTTCGTCTGTTCTGACAGCCAAACACGATCTTGAAGCCAATTTCTGGCCTGAGATTAAGGCCCGGCACAACGACCAAAGACAAACAAGCAGTCTGCAAAGCTACTACTAAACTTGTGCAGCTGACAGATGAAGGTGAGAGGGGGGAAGGTTTAATTTTAAACAAAAAAAAACTCCCATTAAAGTACCATGCGGAATGGTTTCACAGTTTTGCCTGCTTGGTTTCACATCATTACAACATTTGCAGCCCTCATCGTCTTCAAAGGAACGGGGAGTTACAGTAAATCAGGATGACAACGTGTTGGTATGTATGCCAAGTGCCAACTATTGAGTAAACCATTTTTATTCTACACAAAGGGAAAATGCAATTAATTAGAGGGCTTTCAAGTCTTCAAAGTAGGGGGAGGGGGGGTGGGGTTTGCTGTAGCGAGCTGTGGATGCGATTCCCTGTTGCTTCGTGAGGATATGACTAAAATTCAGTCACCCCAGGCTGTGTAATTTTGCTATTACAGGATTGCTTTGTTTGCTTTTATTAACACCACTCCCAACTGCTTGTCTGCTTTTAACATCAGATTGTCTCCACATTTATGGTGACTAAAGAAAACAAGTAGAGTCTTCTTTAGATATTTCTCCACAAAATATCCATCCTGGTTGCAGCAAAAAAGGATGAAACCCAATAGTCCTCAAGAATGCAAGGTTACACAGTTGAGGAGGTGAAACCGAGGGCTGATGGCTGATGTTGCATGTCGGGTGCCCATCACCGCTGTGCAGGCATTACTAACCGCACCGGCATGCATCCTCCTGAGAACTGACTGCTCTTGATACTCCTGTGATTCGAGTGCTCAAATTCGACGATGACAGTGTGTTTTCTTTTATAATATCACGCACACACACACACACAAAAAAAGGGTGTCTCAACCGCCTCTCTCAGGGCGGCAATGTGTTTCGAACCATAACCCCAGTTATCCAATAACAGCGTCCGTAGAGTATGGAGTTCAACCTGAGGGAAATGTAGCCTGTCAGCAGCCAATCATCCGTCTGATTGTTGCAACACTCGCTGGCGGAGAGTTTACACGCTTCAATGCATCGAGAATTTATTATTTCGGTTGATGTTTGCGATGACTCTGGGCGCAATCTGTCTGCGCCATCTGCCTGTCAGGACGATTCAAGCTTTATGAATTTGCAGTCTCATATCATGGATGTTTTAACCTCCAATTGTGCTTTTAGGACTGAGCTAATTTCTCTCTGGTATGACATCCGAGTCCGCAATCATGATACTTGCTGTTTTAACGATCGGGCACGGATCACAATCAAAGAGAGTCACAGCCCACCCGGGTGCCTTGCAGTTTGCACGCTGGTGAAGACTTCTGAGTTTGATTCCCATCAAACTAGCTTTTTTTTTAATCGCCATTTACCAGACTCCAGATGTTTCAGCATGTGCTCTCTTTGAGACTTTGAAGGCACAGATCAGAGCACAGAATTATTTCATATAATAGAAGACCTGAGAAGAAAACATTGACTGTGTTAACACGATCAAATAATCCTTAGATCATATTTTAATACATTTCTCTCGCTGATGTCAGGTGGATAAAGGTGCTACGTGCTCAACCCCCACAACTCACTGCCATCATGCATTTTAAAAGTTATACACACATGGAAGGAGGTTGTTTTATTTTTTACTGTTGGGAACTGAGCAGATCTGTAAGACAGCTGGGATTTACTGCCTTGCTCAAGGGCATCCCCAACTGTGCGGTGGAGGTGAGGAGCGTTTAGCTCACTTCCCAGACCTGGATAATAAGGAGGGCTCATCTGCTCGGCTTAAGAGATCAACTGGAAGGATTTGGTAAAACTGTGAAGTTTTTAAGTGGTTCTTAAGTTTTACCTGCTCTCTCCGGAAATAGATGCTTAATTTTACGGCCGTTTATAAGAAATGCTCTAAAAGGTCCGAGTTCTTTCATTCCCGTAACCATCTGTTAGAGAGAAATACTATCTACTGACAAGGAAAGCAGGAAAAAAAAGCTTCAAATAGATTTTTATTTCAGCTAATTCTACTGGATAGGATTTGCATTTATCATCATCATTAGTTCCATTTGTGCTTATACAACCCAGATTTTTTTCTGGAAGAACCATTACTGGCTGCTTTCTTCAGATCAGATGTGCATCTGCTGATTTCCTCTCCAAACCGACTGACTTACAACAAACAGAGGGCCTCAAAGCATCTACTCTAAGAGCAGGCAACAGGTTACGGCTGACGATGAGCAAATGGGCAATAAAGAGTAAATCACTGCTTTTATAAACATGGCTTCAGTTTAAAGAAATGCCCTTCTATTGATTTTAAGCCCCGCAGTGCTATTTCTTTCTTTTTTCATCATCCAAACCATTTCCCCTTCTTAAGATTTAAGCAACTATTCTGGCTACGGGTCATTTTGGCCATTGGCCGGTTCATACCCACATGTTGCCTTATTTTCTTCTCTTTCTCACACTTTTTAACAATGAACTTAAACTTTTGCATGTCAAATGAATTCTATTACTACATATGCATTTTATTACATTTATAGGAAATTTAAAGAAAAAAAATCAATAACTTAAACAAAATATTGCTCAATATTTCCTCATTTGGGACGTTATGAACTCTGATCAAACCAAACAACAGTCGGTTCGGTTCAGGGGTGACCATAGGCAGAGATTCTACTTAAAGTACCTGAAATCACTAGAAAAGTGGAAAGGAAATGTCCTCAATGGAGGTACTACTTTGCTTCAAACATTACATTAGAGAAAACTACTTTACCAACGTTTTTAATGATGAAAGTACCATTTCATTTGATTAGTTTAGTATTTTTTTTTTAGAAATTATGGAGAATTATGGAAGAAAACTGCTGGTGCTCATCTCTAGCTCTCTTTGGACAGCTGGGAAGGATATACCTAGGAAGGCAAAGCAAAACTAACAACCTTCCATGCATAATAATATGTTTATATATTGATTTATAATTCATGCCTAGTTATATGAAAGTAAAGTATTAATCTGAACGCCTTCTCCTTCTGTCTCCTCATTTCATCTCTGTCTGCACAAACAGAAAGGTCATCAGTGCCAGACAGAAAGCGGAACGTCAGAAAGAATTAAAAACCAAAAGAAAAAAAGACATTTTCAGGAAGGAATATAAAAAATGAATCAAATGATAGGTGACGACTGATTTAATCACCACAATCAATTAACATACCTGACCCAAAGAAAAAGAAAATACCAGTTAATCTTAGGAGAGAAGTACAAAATAGTTCATTTGCAAGAGTGAAAATCTTTAAATAGGACAAATACAACCCATTTCACTTTAATCTGTTTAAGTGTAAAAGTATTGTTTCAAGTAGAGATGAACCGATATCTGGATCGGATATCGGCACCGATATTGACTAATTAGCTTAACTGAATATCGATGACTCTGATATCGGAGCTCCAATCCATTGCACTTTACTTATAACTGTTACTTCTTAATTTGCTGCCCATTTTTAATAAATAATATGAAGTATTTTTTTATATAAAGTGGTTTTTTGTTACTTTTTTTAAAGGTATACTATGCAACCGGTGTTGATTTTCCAGGGAGGCTCCCTCCAGAGGGCGAAAGTAAAAGTGCACTGTCGTAAATATGCTCAGCTGTTCTCCTGGTTTCTCCGTCAAGCCAGGCGCGGTTGTTTTGAGCTTAGCAGCGAATGACTAACGCTGCGTTCACACTGGATGTAGCTGGCGCGACAGAAGCAGCGAGTTTACATGCAAAGGTCCCGCGGCGCGTTTTGAGCTGCAGGCGCAGACCGTCTGAGCGGCTGCAGCAGCGCGTCGGGTGCGTTTAACGCAGGGAGAGAGACACAGCGCTGATGATCACTGCTCTTTGACGCCTAAATTAACTTAAAATGCAGAAATCTGCCGGCAGAATATGCAGTTTGGATTATTTACATGAAAAACACCTACCAGCTGCCGCGGTGAACCGCTGCTGATGAAGGGATCCATACTGTCGGCGCATCCCTGGTATGTGGGGGTCTGAGCGGCTCCGACAGAAAAAATATTGAAGGCAGGATAATAATCTGAATGAACTGACTGCACTGATTACGTTTTCAGGTGTATTTTCTCACTTAAACACATATTAAAACTACTTTATTCCCACTGATCACAGCAAATATAGCTGCAAGGCAGAGAAAGGATAGTGAAGCTCCGCCCAACGCGCCTCAGACACACTTTTGCAGCCAGAGCAGCAAAGCTGCTTCAGCCGCGCGTCAGTACTAACTGGTACAAGCAGCAAAAATGAAGCAGCAGATGCGATTTTGCTGCTTTTGCTGCTTTTGCTGCGTGAACGTAGCATAACTGCACAAAGATTGCCACTGTGCTAGCAACGAGCATGCTTTTAACTGGGGCGTGTAGCAGTTCTCGCCGTAAAGCAAGACTGACTCTCACGAGACTTCTGAGCCTGTGGGTGCGGGTCGGTGCTCCTGCAGTTGCAAGTGCAGTATTTCCCCCACAGACCACCAGGGCGGCCGAGAATACCTTTGTTCAACCTGAAATGACTCATTTAGTCATCCATAACGTTATGGAACACATTAATTAACTGAAAAATGTTGCATAGTGTCCCTTTAACAATATTTGTGTCCAGGCTAAAGCCTTCACTCACATGACAAGGTTTATGGTTCATTCACACAACAGCTGAATCGGATCGCTATAGGATAGCGCCAATAGGCTCGGCCCGGGTATCATATCGAATTGGATCGAAAAAAACTGGATTGCTGCATCTTTAATTTCAAGTTATTTGATTTTATTCAAGTAACTGCAAAACAAAAAGAAAATGTCCCCATTTTTTTCCTTTTGGGAACCAGATATTGTTTTCTGCAAAGCAATTAGTCTAAAAATCAATCAGACAGTCACTTTAAATTGCATCCAAATCTGTTTCACCATCACGAGGTAATCCAATAAACATAGCTTTCCTCAAAACTGTTTATACACAAAGAAATAGGGGATTCAGGGTTCGCAGCTTGGAAAGATTTTAGTACCACTTGTTTCAAGTTGGTCAGATGGGAGGCACGTTTGGATTGTTCTGCTACTTGTCCGTATACCTGCATGTCACATCAGATCCAAACCCTTCCTGCAGAAAGAGCCTTAGATGAAAACCTGAGAGAAGAAACATTTTTTTTTGCAGGGCAAAAAAATGATTCTTCAAAGGAATGGCCTGTAAAAAAAGAAAAAAAAAAAACGACTAACAAGTGCGGCATCTGCGCCTCAATGCCACATGCTCCTGTTTCTCCAACTATGTAAACTGTGGGATGTGTAATCAGAGTTGTTTAATGCAGACATCTGGCACGGACAGCATCACAGCGCTGTTAAATATTTACAGCTGGGCCACAGCCTTTCGCCTCATGAAGCATCACCATCTGGGCTGAATACCAGGCCCGTCTCACTTGGCTGCAGCCGGGGAAACCGCCACTATCTAAAATAAGCCAAGAAATGGGGACAGCTAAATAAATAGGCTGACTTTAAGAGATGAGGGAGAGAAATCCCAATACAGGCAATGGATTGCATTAATGTTTCCTACAGAGAAATAAATGTGCGCTCGCTGAAAAACTGAAATTCCTCAGGGTGACTCTGTTGACAGCTCTGCACAACTCAGTGTCCCAGCCAATGTCCCACACTGAGGATCATTTTCTCCTGTGCAAAAAAGCTTACACAACCGCTGACAAATGAGGAGAAGTGAGACAGCATTGCGAAGTTGATAGGTGCAACTTGGCCCTTTTTGTGCTGATCAAATTAGGGCCTAGATGGGGGCATTGGGGTGGGGAGGGTCTGTTTGCCAAAGCCACAGACTACACAATAAGTGTTCAATCAAGCCGCTGCCAGAAGGGAAAACACATGTGAGAAGGAGACTGGCTCTGCTCCAAGTACCAAGTGCCCCCCATCTAAGTCCTGATGAATTTACATCAGCCCTTGGGGCTTTGCACCTGCTGGGGATCCAGTCAATGTGCAGTCCACCTGTTCTAACACACTCACTGACCTGCCTGTGTGGCTCCAGCTGGGCAGAACTCAGTATCTACCTGTTTCTCTGTCACCACAGGGAAGAAATGAAAAAAAATGGAATAATAAATCAATTAAGATGTTTAGATCAATAAGTTTATTACAATATATATCCAAAGGGAGAAGCTTCAGAGATGCAAGAAGGACGGGGTTACCTGATGGGCTGAAATTTGAGAAAATTACAGTTAAATGTTTTCTGAAATACCTGACAGAGGGAACTTTCCTGACAATTCAAGACTGAGCAAACAGACACACAACAGGAGCAATTACTGAAAAGCTTCCTAATTCTCATTGGATGTTTTCTCTTTACCTCTCGGTCCTCCTCAGTGCGCCTGGGCTCCACTTGCGGGTGACCGGGTGGGAGAACCTCCATCGGTTCAGCCAGGTCCACCCCAGAGGTTGTTACTATAGACTCCCTTTTCTGGTGGGTTATTTCCCTTTTCACCTCGGAGCGCAGGTCCACATAGCAGATCAGGGTGACTGCGTGCAGAGTGAGCGACAGCAGGAATAATCCAAGGAAGACAGCGCTGCCGCTCCGACCCCTACACTTCTTGCCGCACATGCAGGGAGCCCCCCTGGGCATCAGCGTATCGGGGAAGTCCTCCGCGGGTGAAGCGTCATCGCATGCCATTATCTGAGGGAGCGCGGCTCATATGCTCCTTATCTCGGCATAATCAGCTCGTCTGGAGGCGCGTTGTGCCGGGGCTATTCATTTACGCAGAGGCTCATAGGTGCAGCAGCAGCAGGTCGGCTGCAAACTTCCAGGATCTGTAGTAACAATGAGTGCCCCGCCCACCTCGGCTGTGATTGGTCAGGAGCTCGGATTTAACCAGCCGCTCTGGGACAGAGGGTTTAAAAAGGACAGTGGTGGAGTGACATCTAACGGACAGTAGCAGGCACTGCAACACGTGTAGACGGGACCCTGAATGAAAACTAGAGAAAACAAAAGAACACCTGGGTTTAACTAAGCCAGCGGTTCTCCACTTGTTTACCACCTTGATAAATACAACGTTTTTGTTTGATTTCTACTTTCTTCAACGTTGTCCACCCCCTGAAAGGCAATTGGATTGCAGTATAAGGACCGCAAAAGACAAATATTGATGGACAAAGATATGCTGAAATACAGGTGCTGGTCATAAAATTAGAATATCATGAAAAAGTAGATTGATTTCAGTAATTCCATTTAAAAAGTGAAACTTGTATATTATATTCATACATTACATACAAACTCATATATTTCAGATGTTTATTTTGTTTAATTTTGATGATTACAAATGACAACAAATGAAAATCTCAAATTCATCATATCAGAAAATTAGAATATTACTGAAGACCAATAAAAACAAAGGATTTATAGAAATGTTGGCCAACTGAAAAGTATGAACATGAAAAGTATGAGCATGTACAGCACTCAGTATTTAGTTGGGCCTCCTTTGGCCTGTATTACTGCAGCAATGCGGCGTGGCATGGAGTCGATCAGTCTGTGGCACTGCTCAGGTGTTATGATAGCCCAGGTTGCTCTAATAGTGGCTTTTAGCTCTTCTGAATTGTTGGGTCTGGTGTATTGCATCTTCTTCTTCACAATACCCCATAGATTTTCTATGGGGTTAAGGTCAGAAGAGTTTGCTGGCCAATTAAGAACAGGGATACCATGGTCCTTCAACCAGGTACTGGTAGCTTTGGCACTGTGTGCAGGTGCCAAGTCCTGTTGGAAAATGAAATCTGCATCTCCAAAAAGTTGGTCAGCTGCAGGAAGCATGAAGTGCTCTAAAACTTCCTGGTATGTGGCTGCGTTGACCCTGGACCTCAGAAAACACAATGGACCAACACCAGCAGATGACATGGCACCCCAAACCATCACTGACTGTGGAAACTTTACACTGGACTTCAAGCAACGTGGATGAAGTGCCTCTCTTCTTTTCCTCCAGACTCTGGGACCTTGATTTCCAAAGGAAATGCAAAATTTACTTTCATCAGAGAACATGACTTTGGACCACCCAGGCAAGACGCTTCTGACGCTGTCTGTGGTTCAAGAGTGGCTTGACACAAGGAATGCGACAGCAGAAACCCATGTCTTTCATACGTCTGTGTGTGGTGGTTCTTGAAGCACTCACTCCAGCTGCAGTCCACTCTTTGTGAATCTCCCCCACATTTTTGAATGGGTTTTGTTTCACAATCCTCTCCAGGGTGCGGTTATCTCTCTTGCTTGTACACTTTTTTCGACCACATCTTTTCCTTCCCTTCGCCTCTCTATTAATGTGCTTGGACACTGAGCTCTGTGAACAGCCAGCCTCTTTAGCGATGACCTTTTGTGTCTTGCCCTCCTTGTGCAAGGTGTCGATGGTCGTCTTTTGGACAACTGTCAAGTCAGCAGTCTTCCCCATGATTGTGTAGCCTATAGAACTAGACTGAAAGACCATTTAAAGGCTTTTGCAGGTGGTTTGAGTTAATTAGCTGATTAGAGTGTGGCACCAGGGGCCATCAATTTTGAACCTTTTCACAATATTCTAATTTTCTGATATGATGAATTTGAGATTTTCATTTGTTGTCATTTGTAATCATCAAAATTAAACAAAATAAACATCTGAAATATATGAGTTTGTATGTAATGTATGAATATAATATACAAGTTTCACTTTTTAAATGGAATTACTGAAATCAATCTACTTTTTCATGATATTCTAATTTTATGACCAGCACCTGTACAATTATGCATCCACAGCTCGACTGGCAATCCCTGCTTCTTATAAATAAACAAGAAATGCCCACTAAAACAGGAAAATAACATAAAAAATATATGAATTATGTTCTATGCCTCTTACTGGCATCCAATAAGCAGCGTATAGCAAAATAACAGCATTCCTCTTTCTTTAGAGACTTAAATAATTTATTTTTTTAACATTATATTCAATTCCTATTTTTTGAAATTAAATAAACTGGCCTAACTTTAGCAAATTTATGGAAGTAGTAGTGGACCTGAGACACTTTAGGACTTCCATGATTAAAGATAAAAAAAAAAAAACAGAATAGAAAAAAGGTGACTAAAAGTAAGAACGTTTAGGAGGAAAATCTTAAGGTGTTTTTCACCAAAATCAACCCTAGACTATTTATATTTTATCAACATAGGCATTTAAGCTTCTCTTTTGACCTAAATAAAGGTGGTGCTTGCGCGTTTGAAAGCAAAAAAACTAAGAAAAAATGGGGCAAGAACTAATTTATGTTGATCAAAGGCAAACAGAGCTTAGCATGCATGCCAAGAAGCACTTGGTACTGGTCAACGCTCTCGAGTATCTTCTTTAAGTTTTTGTTAGTGATGCATACTAAAGCTGACATCTTCTCCAAAAAGTCTGAACACCAAGCTAACCTCTGCTTTGAAATGGGTCAATCTAAAAAATTTGGAAAAAACATCACAAACACTTAACCAATAGCTATTTGATTGTTCTTTAAGGAGATATAGCCACTACAAAAAAATATTAAAAACCTTTGATCCTGATGAAATAAAGGTAAACACCAAGTCTCTACAAGATGCAAAGTTTTTATAGTCCTTTGTCAACTTTTAAATTACAGCTTGTAATAATCACGGGGATTTACTAACATATATTATGTATGGTATTTATTATCATCTATGAAATTAAAGTCTCAATATTTATTATAGGCTTGCCTGAGAAATTGCTATTTCTAATTAAAAGAGGAGTCGGTTCACATTTGTGGAAGTAGAGATATTTTGCTCTACGGTTGCGCAGCTGACAAACTAGTCACTATAGAGATCACCATTAGGCCTACATACAATCCAACACAGACTAATGAAATACTATTTATAAATGTATCAATATAAACTAGACTTACACTGGCCACAACCAGACTCACAACTTTCTTCTGCCCTGAGTCCATGTTTGTTTTAGTCAGAGTGCCCAAATCAGCGGGAAGAATCACCTGATAAGGTCATAAGATAGGGGGAGAGTGTTTCTGAACTCAGACAGGAGCAGAGGGGAATCAGTGTGATAACAGCAGCTCGGTAAGAGCTCCAGAACACTATATAAATAAACTGAAATGAATTAAAATAAATGCACTAAGGGATATTTTAAGAACCCATATAAAAACTAAAGTGGACTACGGTGAAAGAGGAAAAGGTTCTAACAATCTATTATTGATTTGTTCCCCTTAGTTCCAACAAAAACATAGCATCTAGATTAGCCATGATCTAAGTTTGAAATCAAGTATTTGTTTTTCAGTAAGCTGATTGTTAACTGGTCATCTTCACAAACTAACCATAATAATAATTTCTCACATTACTCAGCATATCCAGGAAAACAACAACTGCAACTATCTCTACCTTTTAACAAGTCAAAAAGCCCTATTGGATAATGAGGTCAGATATAAATATCCACTTAAGGATGAAGATCCTTTTTTTTTTACAAGCTTTGCTCCTTTAATATTTTTTTTGTTTTGTTTGCAATATAGAAATAAATTAAGCATTTTGTTTTCTAATAACTTAAGCAGCTATTCTAATGATATTTTTTTCATTTTGCTCTCAGGACCAATTTAAGTCGGAATCGTCCTCTGCATACTGCATCCAACCTCTCAGTTTGGAAGAAAAAATAAATCATTAAACTCTGTGGATTTAACAAACATGGAAGGTTTTGTGATATGATTTGTTTTTAGGATGATGGAAGTCTGCTTTGATCTTGGATCCCCTTGGATTAGACACTAGGACCTCATTTCAAACATCTCAATCCATCCCTCTGAGGAGCAATCTACTGTATGTGGAAATGTAGGATTCGTTTCTCCGAACGGCATGAGAAGTCATTTTCACACATGCAATAGAGGTCACAGCATGTTTCCTTTAATCCTATCAAAATTGTGAAGGGTTTCATAAACTAGACCTTTCCAGCGGTCTGACTCCACCAACATGCATTAAACAACTTGACCAAAAAAAATCCACTTTGCCACTCTGGACGGAAACAAACACAGTGACACTGTAGATTCAGACCACAGTCACGGTTGTTTCCACCTGTAATCTGCAGTCCAGCACAATATTAGTGAGCACGTGGGTGGCTGCTGTACAATGTGTGGAGCCTTGGGGCCGGAAAATAAATTTCGTGACTCTCTTTCAGTGACGTGAATACGAACAGAGTTGGGTGGTCACTGATGTAATGCGTATTGTTTATGTATGTGTTTTAGGGGACTGGGCATGCTATTTTTCACTAGTGGACTTTGTTTAGAGCTGTGGTTTTTTATGTTTGTGGCAGCTCATGGACTGATGTTCCTCTGTAAATACTGGGTGGTGTTATAGAAAAAAAGGGGCCTTGCATTTCAGGATTGTGTTATTATCATAGAGTGAAAGAGTGCAGCAAATGCTGTAAACAGATTTGGAGGAAAAAAAATGAAATAGGATTTTAAAACGACATTACCACATTTTACTGTCAGGCTGTATGAAGAGCCCTGGAGGAGAGACGGTGTCACAATGAGGTCAGAGGCACAATCAAATGCACTGAGCATGTGTCACTCAGCTGGGTGAAGGGAGTGGTGTGACATTTATGTTACCCAAGTGGTGGCTGACAACAATTCTTTTACAAGATTAAATGTGGCTTTGAGGTTCCCATGTTCCCAAAACTCTCAAGCTGAGCCATTTTTTTTTTTATTGATGCTCAAACTTTGATCTGTTAGAAAAGGAACTAAAGCAATACTTGCACAATGGACTTGTCCTTGAGCTTCACGATGATGAAACCGGCAGGCTAATCAGGCCTGAAACTTGGGCTGCTGATGGATCACCACCTTA